TTTTTTTTTTTTTTTTTTTTAAAGATGACCGGTAAGGGGATCTTAACCCTTGACTTGGTGTTGTCAGCACCACGCTCACCCAGTGAGCGAACCGGCCATCCCTATATGGGATCCGAACCCGCGGCCTTGGTGTTGTCAGCACCGCACTCTCCCGAGTGAGCCACGGGGCCGGCCCAAACCAGGACATTTTTGAGAGTGAAAGGTGGCAAGAGATGTAAACTTGGATTACCCTGGAGAGGTGAAGTTGCTTGCCTTAATATTTTGGTTGCCTTATTAATTTTACAAAAATTGCATTCTGACATGTTTATTTGTCTGGTTTCAAAGTAACAAAGACATACTTGTGAAATCATGCTTGGGAGTAAGTTAAACTCAACATGTCTAAAAATTACTCACTTATTTCCTCTTCCACAAAGTCTTTCTGGATTCCCCTTTTTCTCATCCTGAGTTGGTTGCCCCTCTCTGTGGTTCTGGGGCATTAGTTCTCAATGCTGGGAAGTGGGAAGAGGCCAGGATTTTGGCCCTCCTGCCTCCAAAGGACATCTGGTGACAGTTGGAAACAGTTTTGGTTGACTTACCTGGGTCAGGGAGAGTGCTACTGGTATCTAGTGGATAGAGACTTGGGATACAGCTCAACATCCTACAATGCATAGGAAAGCCTACCCCACAAAAAATTATCAGTTAGGCCCAAAAACTCAAAGGTGCCGAAGCTGAGAAACACTGCTGTACGTACCTTTGTCATATCAGTTCATACGGACAACTGTAATTGTCAACTGGCTGACTTTCCCAGCTAGACTGCAAGCTCCATGAGGACAGGTGACACAAGTACCTTGCCGAGTGTTTGGCACATATAGTTGACACTTAATCAGGATTGAAGGAAAGGGGAAGGTATATCTAGATTCAAATTTAGGGCTCTGTGAGTTCACCCTGCTCATTTTCTTGAACCATTTTCCACCCCCCATTGGGCACGGTAATCGATCAGTTGATAAGCATTTCATTCATTCAACATTTAAAAACATTTTTTTTTTTTTAAAAGATGACCGGTAAGGGGATCTTAACCCTTGACTTGGTGTTGTCAGCACCACGCTCAGCCAGTGAGCGAACCGGCCATCTGTATATGGGATCCAAACCCGCGAGGTT